AACTACAGCTGCCGGTTTTTTACCGTAAATTTTAAGGATTTTATTTTTAATTTTTTACAATAACACAATGTTATTTATATTCAATTATGTACTACATGAACCATAAAAGACTGATGCATTATATATGACAGAAATATAACAAACATATGCAAACTTAAAAAAGAAATGTCTAGGGAAAAAAAGTTATTTCATATGTCAGGGTTTACAGGGTTAATACAGTATCTGACTTACGTCTACCTGGTTTACCCAAGAAGCACTTGTTTGAAGGTTAATACGGTCTGTTTCATTAAAACTGACACTAAATTAAACGCTAAAGTTGCGTTTCTGGACCTTTCACTGACAAGGACGTCGGAGTTAGGAAATCTTCGTACGTGAAAGTTTTCAATGAACCAATCATTCTCGTTCACCTCTTGAACTGAACTAGTTCATGATTAAAGTCTCTCTCTACTTTTGAGGCTTAACGATGGAAAGGACCACCTGTCGAATCTTTTTGGTGAATTTCTTCAAACGAGTCACTGGGATGAATCAAAAGCCCCAGCACTAGGCTAAGAACAGATAATAGCCTATAGAGCGCGAGACTCGAACAGGTGTCAATGCGGAGGAAAAAAAAATACATTAATAAAAAAAATAAGAATAATTTAAAAAGATGGGCTACTGGGATGCAACATCACAAATCATCTCTTTGATATTGGTTTAAATTCACATAGCCTTTTCAAGTTGTGTGGTCAATTTTTAACACGAATCTAGCCTATACGTGAGGTCAGGTTAAATGTATCCGAAGTTGACAGCATAGCTGGGGAAATACGCCATTTCAATTAAAGTGCAGATCATTTTTTGTTTAAAAAAAACCAAGACACTTACATGTTCATACACGGCAGCACTCATGTTATTTCAGGAAACTAGTTTCGCTACCAAACAGAAGAAGAGCGCACGCCTGAAGCTCCGAGCAGTCAATCCGGGCGCTGCTTTTTTTAAGGCAGTTTGGATGAAACAGTCCTATTGAAAAGTTCTCGACGGGCCGTTCAGAGTTTCACGGAGAAGCCTAAATCCCGCGGCGTTCTCTCATCTCTCTCACCTGAGGGCTCAGAATGACGCTGTAGTTTCAGTGGGCATGACCAGGTAAAACGACTTCCGTCACCAAACGCAAAGGCGTTTACAAACAGAGCTCCCTGTCACAGGGGTCTAGCACAGGGCTGTCCAAACTCGGTCCTGGAGGGTAGGGATGGGCATATCGATCCTAAGTATCGATATATCGATACTGTCCTGCAGAGTTTAGCTCCAACTTGCCTCCAACACACCTGCCTGCTGGAAGTTTCTATGGCTGTGTTCGAAATCGCCCCCTATACCCTCATTAACTATTCCCTACATTAGGTCACTAATTCAGTTCACTAGTGAATGGAAACGAGTAGTGAATTCGGACACTGAGTGCACCGGAAGGAATGCCGCTTTTGCATAGTTTGTGCCTGCTGTTTATTAATCATTTGAAACAAGCAGCTCCAGTAAGATTAAAGGATTTATCTTGAACTCTGTCACGGAAATTATGTAGGCTATAAACCCTAATCAAACAATAGAATAATCAATTTACAATGAATGTATACGCTTGTCGTACATTATGCTGTAGTACGCCATGGATGAGCGCTTTGTAAAAATGAGCGGATTGATTATTCAGCTGCGGGCGCCATCTTCTGGCGAGATGCGGGAATTCATTCGGCGCGTGACTCTCACGGTGCATTATGGCATTATCTAGCCGTTGAGCGTGCACCTTTTTGCAGTGCATTGTGGGATTGAATGAGTGCACTCGAGAACGTCCACTATGCCCCTTGTCCAAATACCCACACTCGTGGTCTTTGCACTTGACCACTTGACTACTTATATGATGCATTTCCTGTATTTGTCCCAAGTGTTCAAGTGAGGATGAAGACCACAAGTGTGTGTCAAACTTTTCATTACCTGACGAGACACACTAGTGTTGTAAAAATGCAAGTGTTCACATAGCTTTATTTTAATTTTAAATGCTTTGCATTTTAAAATCAACTTACATTTTAAAATGAAATACGTCTGTTCAGTAGTCCCTATAACACGACATAATTTAATTTGTGGTGCTTCTAATTAAGTGATAAAAAGCAGTTGCAAATGTTGTACAAAATAAATATCACCACTACTCATCTTTGCACCAATAAAACGTAAAAACAGTGTTTTTCTACCAAATTATATGTAATAGCTTATTATTATATCAACACTATAAGTGTGTCCCATCAGGTAATGAAAAGTTCGACACACACTTGAGGTCTTCACATCCACTTGAAGACTTCGGCCAAATACAGGAAATTCGTCATTTAAGTAATCAAGTGGTCAAGTGCAAAGACTGCAAGTGTGGGTATTTGGACAAAGCCATGGTTTCGGACGCCATTAAAAATGGCTGTTCCCTCAAATAGTGCCCTATTTAAGGGTATAGGGGGCGATTTCGGACACAGCCTATGCCTAGTAAGAGCTTGATTAGCTGGTTCAGGTGTGTTTAATTAGGGTTGGAGCTAAACTCTGCAGGACACCGGCCCTCCAGGACCGAGTTTGGACACCCCTGGTATATTTTGTATATTGGTTTCAGAAACCTTGTTCAGAATTGTTCGTAAATTCTTAACTCCAGACCAATATTTTTATATTGCAGTTAGTTAAACAAGTGAACAAAGGCTTTCAGGCAAGAGGTGTAATAAATACCTGAAAGGTTTTTGTGTCATATAAATAGCGGGAAAGTTGTCAAATTTGTTTAAATGCTAATGTATGTTTTATATATATATATAATTAAAAAAAAAAATTTCATGACATGTTTCATGAATCGTGTTGATTTTACAGTTACAATCAACAGGTAGGCTATAAAGGCCCCCAAATTGTCTCAACATGCCCCGTGTCAAAATCTTTTTCTAGGGCAGTAATATTATAAATGCATTCATCCATCAGACTCTTATTAAAATTACAATCAAAAGTTAGTCTCATTAGCTTTCTAGGTTATACAGCCATAAAATCTGTTTAATCAGTTTAATATAGCATTCTTGAGACGTGGGACAAAACAGGTCCAGCAAGGGTAACTGCTATTAGCTTTAAAAAAATAAAACTATTTTCAATATAAATTATATTATTCAATATGTATTTAACACAATTATCACCTTCGATTTAATGTTCTCATTATTATACTAAATCTGTGTTTCTTAATGTCCTCTCACTACGTCTAAAACAGTGTGTCCACAGAGAAGGGTTCAATCATTCATATGCAATAAAATGGATACAAATGTTTTTTTAATGATGAGAAAGAGCTTGTTATATCAAAAGCAACACTTAATATTATCTCCTATCAAAGCAAGGTTGTTTTTTTAATGACACATGCATGTTTTATACGATTTTAAAGTTGCGTCCCCACTTTTTGTCAACACCGTCAGACATTCAATAAAATGTAATCAAATCAGGGAATATCAGGGGCTGCTGTCACTCTAAAGCAACCCCTTGCCACAGTTCACCTGTCTCAGTGTCAGACAGGCTCTGCTAAGTTTTAGGTGTAGAATATTTTAAATCCTAATGTTAATATTTCCTGTGTCACAGCCATGATATGTCAACACCATCTTCCAATTTCTGAGGAAATTATTTGAAATATTTGGATCATTTTATTCTCCTGAAGCAGGTTCCATTAGCATCTAGCATCAACAGAAACAAAATAAAATGCTACTACATGAACTCCATTGGTTTTGCGAAAGAAATGCCAAATTTGTCAACCCCGTCAGATGTCACCACCAT